CCAGGAAATCTACATCAGATCTTTGGGGCTGTCCTCCTCCTACCATCCGTAATTATGAGGTTTTCGTCCTATACCTGGTCACTGGTATCCCTCAGTCATTAACCCTGTGAGAGCTCACAGTGCACATTGGTATGTATAACCAGCTTTACCAAATTGAATGAAAAGGAGCTTGTGCAAAAAAAATAAATAAATAAATAAAAGGTTGTCAAGCTGTTATGTAAGAGATTAGTGTAATTGTGAAATGTTCTATACAGTATCAAATATATAAAGCTTTCCATATTGAATGTACATTATACAGATCATTCATATGTGTACATAAAATTTTAAAAATAAAGGGAATTGACTGCTTTGTTAATGATTAAAAAAAAACCAAATATTGCTTTATTTGCATAAGGAAGCACTGATGAATACACAAGAACCTAATATAAGTGGTTCTCTATATGGGAGCAGATGTGGACGAGGTTGGAGTACTGAAGCATGACTTTCCAATATGTATCTTTTTAAATGAATCATTTATTAATAAAAAGTGAAATATAACCCAATAGAAAATGGACAAAATAAAAAATAAATAAAAAAAAAAAAAGAAAATGGACAAAGACCTCAAGTAAATAGTTTTCAGAAAAAGAGATATAAAAGGCCAGTTAGTATGAAGAGATTATCAATCTCACTTAAAATTAAGGAAGGATAGGTAACAAAATACAATTTTTCATCTAAAAGGCTGGCAAAGATGATAAGATTGATATGATAGTCTCGCAGGAATGTGGCAAATAGGCAGTTTCTACTGTAGGTAGAGATAAAAATGAATATAATTTTTTATTACAATGGGCAATCTGATAATATGTATTATAATTTTTAACATATTTGACTTTTAGGCTGACCAACTTGCTTCTAAGAAGCTCTCATGTGCCAAGTTATATGTATAATCATGTTCATTCAGGACCATTTACTGTAGAGAAACACTATAGACATTTTGTGTTCACGGTAGAAGACTTAAATAATTTAAGGTTTATCAATATAAGGAAAACAATGCCACTGTGAAATAAACAAGATATATATATATATATATATTATAATAGATGTCTAACTATCAAAGATCATTGTGAAGGACTAGTGAGATAGCTCAGCAGACTAAGTGCCTACTTTGGCAAGCACAGGGACCAGGGTTTGATACCTGGTCCCACATGCCGCACCAACCCTGCCCCCACAGTGTGCTGAGCCAGCCACGGAATCCAGGTGTGGTAGCACACACTGGTAATCCCAGTGTTGGGGAGGCTGAAAACAGGAAGATCACTATAAATCCCAGCTGCATAGTGAGACCCAGTACCAAATACATAAAGTGAAAATAAAACAAAAAAACCAAAGATAATTGTGCAGCCATGCTTTCATTTGTGCAAGAAAAAGGAAAAACATTTCTTTTCTAGGAGTTATATATAAATCCAAAGTCTGAGACATTTTCGCCTGAGTTTAGGCACTGGATTAATTTTGGTTTGAACCCTACTGCACCACTTATCCAGGAGTTTAGGAGAAAGCAGAATCTATGTTGTTGGGTCTATATCTACAGTGAACTCTCTGCCTCCCCAACGAAGGGGAATATTGCAGGGGAAGGCCCCTTTTCAGATAGTCAGAGGGGAGGTACTCACTGGATATTCAAAAGAGGTGGTGAGATTTCTGTTGTTGGCTTGCAGAACTCTCTCATTTTCTGAAAACAGAGGACAGAAACAATGAGAATCATACCTCTCTATGGATTAGTCTAGCTGCTGGCTGCTAGTGAAAACTTCATGAAGTTCTCGCATTTTCTCATTGAGATATCTTTGAAAATGAAAATTTCTCTCTTTATTCAAAGAATCAAGAAATACAATAAAAGGGGCCAGGCATGGTGGGGCACATCTGTAATCCCAGTACTTGGGAGGCTGAGGCAGGAGGATATTCCAAGTTTGAGACCAGCCTGGCCTATGTAATGAGTATAAGGGCAGCCTGAACTACATAGCAAGACCCTGTCTCAAAATCAAACCAAAGGGGCTGGGGAGATGGTTCAGTGGAATAAGCACGTCCCTGGCAAATGCAAGGGCCTGAGTTCAATCCCCGGTTAAAAAAAAAAAAAAAAAAAAAAATCAAACCAAACAAACAAATCCCAAAAAGAAATACAGTAAAAGGGAAATCCTCAAGTTCAAGCTTTCTTGAGGCAACAGGACAAATATATTCTGAGGAACCTATATATTAACACTTTTCCAGCGCCTCCTTGATTATTTGTCTTAGACATTACTGCCAAACACAGACACCCACAGCCCCTCTGCTTTTTTCTTTTTTGGATACAGGGTCTTCCTGTGCAGTTTCAACTGTTCTCAAACACAACGTGTAGCCCAGGCTAGCCTTGAATTTACAGGGATCCTCTTGCCTCAGCCTCCCCTTAGGTGTTATGATTACAGGTATGCATCACTATGCCTGGCACAAACCTAGCCCTTTCTTGCAAGTCAATTCCAGCAACTTATATCTTAGGATATCTGATGCTTTTTTTTTTCTTTAAATTAATTTATTGAGAAAGAAATAGTAATGAGACAGTTTCAAAACAGGTCAGTAGGACAGTTACAATAATTAATACATTGCATATTGTTGTCTTTCTAATAGTCATTCATAGTACAAGATACAAACATGATATCTTGTCTAAGCACTGTTAGTACAAATCTTTCTTCTCATTGAACTAAGACAAAGTAGCTGCATATCCATTCTATTTTTGCATATACACAATATATATGTATATTTTTTCACTACAAAATGGTCTTTCATTTATATCCCCCTTTTTTGTTTACTTTTGTCATAGCATTCCATTGCCATTCAACTATTGTAGGTGCATGAATTCAGCTAATAATCCAACATAGTCCAGTAGACCATAATATTAGTGGGTTACCTTCAGGACCAGCAATGTCAGAAATTGTTGACTTGAGGCTTTTACAACTCAGCATATTAATATGGCATTACTTTTTATATGTCGTGTTTATACTTTTCTGCTGGATGGTTAAGACCAAGATAAAACAAGACCTATATAATAAATCTGATGCTTTTTTCTAAGCCAGTTTTTCCTAAACTTTCTGGGAAATATACGAATTGATAGACATGGATACATATTTTGTACATGTATGAAATATATTTTATATAAATATATACTTCATATAAAATATTATATATTTTTCCAAGGCAAGCCACAGAAACTAGAATTTCTCTTCCCCATAGGAGGTTGTAGAAACTCCTGTCTTTCTTAAAGCTGGCCATAAGAAAATTCTCTGACCTATTTTGTCTGATAATAAGTTATAAGACACCCCCTTATTTAACCATGCTCTATTCCATGCCATAGAGGAAAGAATTTTTCCTGAACAAGGCCAGGAAGAGTATGACAACAAAGAGTCACATATACGTGGCCACAGAAATGTAAAGTTCAGATAGAGAAGAGGCACACAATGATTTTTAAAAGATGAAAGTAGTTCAATATAAAAACCTACTGACTGAGCTGCGGAGATAGCTCAGTAGAGTAAGCACCTGCCTAGCAAACGCAGGGTCCTGAGTTCAATCCCTGGTACAAAAAAACAAACAAACAAACAACCCTAATGATTACATGAAAATAGTCAAATCATATATTACCACATGATGAGGCAGGAGACAGCACCAAAGATGAAAGGGAATCCTCTGAGGAAGGATCTTGCATCAGATGGTGCCTTTGGCATATAAGAGAGAAAATGTTGATCTATACTCAGTTTCTTAGTCTCTTTTTCAGTACTAGGAATTGAACTCGGGACCTTGCCAGGTAGGTGCTTCTTAAGTACCATGTTCAGATAAAAGTGGGTTGGTGCCACAGACCTGCCTGGCTGGAAGGGATCATTCCCAGCATTGGCTACAGCCTGGAAACAGTCATTCCTTTAGGTATTAACCACTATCTCTACCTACTTTTTTCTCAGGAGACAGTCAACCTCTGCAGAAAAATATGTAGCCAAGGTCACTTTAGCAAGCATGTGCCAGGTGACTCTCATCACTTTAATCCTTTTCCTTTCATAGGCCTTGCTGAATTTCTCCACCTAGTCTATTAGCAAACATGTCTATGCAGTGAAGTGCTTATAAAACACTAAAAGGATAGAGTTTGGAGAACTTCTTGACAAATCAACATGTAGAAACTTGCATGGGGCCGGGGAGATAGCTCAGTGGAATAAGTGCTTCCCTGGCAAGCGCAAGGGCCTGAGTTCAATCCCCAGTTCTGAAAAAAAAAGAAAAAGAAAAGAAACTTGCATGAAGGTGAATGAGGCCTGTACATGTGCTGGGAGGACTGTGTACCCCAACTCCATGGGGATAAAATCTCCTGCACTCAAGACTCCTCCAGACCTTTCATTATATCTCTTCATCTGGCTTCTTATATCCTTTTGTATAAATCAGTAAATTTAAGTATAATGCTTCCCTGATTTGCTCTAACAAATAATGGATTCTGAGAAGGGCATCATGGGAAACTCAATTAGGATTTGGTCAGTCAGAAGTTTCAGAGGCCCACCCAGACTGGCATCTGGGTGTGAAGTAGGGCTGCTTGGACTAAGCCTTCAAACCTGCAGGATCAAATACAGTCAACTTGCAGATAGTGTTAGAAGTGAATTGGGGCCAAGTGTGGTGGTGCACGCCTGTAATCCCAGCACCCAGGAGGCTGAGGTAGGAGAATCACTGCAAGTTTAAGGCCACCCAGGGCTACAAAGTGAGTTGAAGGACAGCCTGAATTGCATAATGAAACCCTGTCTCAAAAAGACAAAAGAAAAAAAGTGAACTGGATTAGAAGATACCAGTAGCTGGTATCTACTGCTGCAGAATTGCCTCTTTGCTGGTTGGGAGAAAACCTCATACTTTTTAGGGTCACAAAAGTCTTCTATATTGATGGCAATGTGAGTACAGAGGGAAAGGAATCATTTTCACTGACACGCTTGCTTAAACAAATTTCATGGAAGCAAGTGTGCTGGACACTGGGAGAGGAGAGTGGGGATGGGGATAAAAAGGTGAATAAGGCAGAGACCTGGAATTCAAAGGATGTTAGTGTACCAGGAGTGAGTCAGATCACTGTAATACCTAGTGCACTCATCATATCAAAACACAGAGGTGTTAAAACTGTTAGCAATAGTAAGCCTATTAATATATTATGAAAAAGCTAAATATTCCGATCATTCCTCAGCTTCTGTCTATAAATGAATGTATTCTGGGACCCTTATGGATACTAAAATCCATGATGTTTAAGTGTCTTATATGAAACAAGGTATTTACATGTAATCTATGCACATTTTTTTGTATTCTTTTTTTTTCCCCCAGTAGAACTGGGGATTGAACTCAGGCCCTGCCAGGCAAGCACTTATTCTACTGAGTTATCTCTCTGGCCTCCTTTAAATAATATCTAAATGATATATATCTAATTCAATTTAAATGCTATATAAATACTTGTTATATTGTATTGTTTAGGGAATAATAACAAGTCTCCACATGTTCAATACAGAAACGATTTTTTTCAAATACAGTATTTTCAATCATGATTAGATGAATCCATGAATTTGGAACCATAGATATTGAGGGACAACTATATAATATATATAAATTGATATAAAGCTAATAGATATTTCTGTACTGAATGTTTGTTCCTGTAGTCTCTTTAATTCTTCCTTGGTTTAATGAGTATTTAATTGGGTTCCTTGCAGGGACTGGGCCTTGTGCTAGGCTTTAGGGTTATCAGATGAAGAAAACATCATCCTTATCTTCAGATTCCTAATCCTAGTGGGAAAGTTGAGCACTTTTTTGGGGGGAGGGTCTTTTGAGTCAGGGTTTTACTATGCAGTTCAGGTTGGCCTAGAACTGACTTTGTAGGATGGTCTGAACTCACAGTAATCCTCCTGCTTCAGTCTTCCAAGTGCTGAGTCCTAGTGGAAAGATTAAGAAATTCCCACAGGATGGTACCTACCAGTATTTGTAATCCCAGATACACAAGCTGAGGCAGTGCATCTGAAATTCAAGGACAGCCTGGGAAATTTATCAAGACCATTTCTCAAAATAAAAGTGCTGAGGGCATGACTTTACACTTACTTGGTTCAATCCCAGTACAACACACACACACACACACACATACACACACACGCACACACACTCATGTACACATATGTAGGGTGGAATGCAAGTCTCCCCCCACCCTTTTTGTTTGTCTTGTGGTACTAGAGATTAAATCCAGGGCCTCATGCATGCTAGGCAAGCACTCTACCACTTAGCTACAACTCCAGCCCCCCTCCTCTTTTGTATTTAGTACAAGGTCTACAGGGTCTCACTATGCAGATTGGACTCATAGTGATCCTCTTGTTTACAGCCACCCAAGAGTTCAAATTACAGGCACACACTACCATGCCCAGTCTCAATCACCATCTCAGTGCACCCTGGGGGCAGGGCCAGCATGGTAGGAACAGGGATTGAAGTCCTGGCCCCTGTGTCTGCCTAAGCAGCTGCTTTAATCCACTGAGCTATTTGGCTGGCCCTCTTGCCCTTTTTTTTTTTTTTGGTACTGGGAATTGAACTCAGGACCTTCTGTTTCCCCTTTTCTTTATATTCTTTGTATTCTGTGAAATTTAGTTAAGCAAGTGTATCAGTGAAAATGATTTCTCACCCTCTGTACTCACAATGCCATCAATATAGAAGATTTTTGTGACC